AAATGTCAGCCTTCCTGCTCCTCTGATGCTGCTTGGCCTGCTGTGTTCATCCAGCTCTACACCTTGTTATCTCTTTTTGTAGATCTTATGGCTTTGCATTAATGGTATAATTAGAATGTTGGTTCTTCGGGCATCAATGCAGGAATGTAGTAATAGTCACCATAGTCAGAGAATCATAGGACTGCTATCTCATTAGAGAAAGACAGCTGGTGGTGAGTTTGACCCGAGTGTCACTATGCCTCAGGTGAGCTTTAGAAGGCAGGACTTTCATGGTGATCTCAGCCAGTGTAGGAATTAAACCCGTGCTGTTGTTACCATTCTGCATCGCAAACCAGACTCTGCCCAAAGTATATACTCAAGTCTTGAAAAGCGGGCTTGCACCCATTTGGTCAGTGCTGGATAGGCAAGACATTGAAAAATGGCTCTAAAAGTATGAGTCATTATAGAAAGGAGACATCTGGAAAGTTTTTCCTCGATTTGTTATGAAGAATTTTGATCAGAGATTTCTAGTGTTGACGAAATGTGAATTGCACGGTACAAGTTATAGTGGGTGCCAATGTAGGAGAAGCACCTTTACACTTATGCAACTGTTCAGTCATTCCGAGGTCCTGGACAGGAGGTTCATTGCAGAATTTTCCAGTTGTCACAGTCTGGAACTGCAGAACATTTCACAAAAGCGGCTTTATAAGTAAAATTTTACTTTTCTAGTTAAGTCACTGCAACTTTTTAAACGAGAAATTTGTCAGAATATGTTGACACATTAGAATATTTATTTTCATTGTATAATTGTATGGATTTTGTAACAAAATGTTGGCACATCCAAAGTTGTTCAAACATGGTTTCCAAGTGCTGAAGTTCTGAATTTGGAACAAATATATGGACTCTCATGAAATTGCATACCTCCAGCAATTTTACTTTTACATTTGAAATTAGATTCTTATTCAGATACTTTGCAATGGTTTTTTTTTTTTTTTTGCTTTTTAGTGTAGTTATGTAGTCCTATTGTTTTCCCCGATCCAGAAGGATGACATGTTTAATGATTTTTGGCTACGGATCACAAAGTCACATGAAGCCACATTCTCTTCTGTGGTGGGAAACCCCTGCCCTCAACTGTTAATCTTCACTTTGTGCATTGAGAATTCTATTTTTCATTTTGAAGTGGAGTTCATCCGAAACCGGAACCATGAATCCATACAGCTGCATTACTATCTGACGCGCAGCTGTATGATCTGGCATATATACGGGGGAAGGAATTTCATATGTGTTGCTGGCTGGAAGACTGGTTTGCGGTGCAGAATGATGCTGACAACATGGGTTCAAGTTCTTGCATTGACCTGAGGTTACCATGAAGGACTGTCCTTCTTACTTGCTGTCCTGTCCTGAGATGTGGTGACCCTTGGGTTAAACCATCACCAGTCATTTCTCACTCTCTCTCTGTCTCTTTAATGAGAGAGCAACTCTGTGATCTGGTAGGACAATGGCGACTCTCGTATTTGCATCTTGATGAAGTACAAGTTATAGAAAGGTTTCGTATTATATTCCATTTCCATGATGAGTTCCTTTTTTATAATCATGCAACTGGACTTTTGTCTTAATTTCAAGAACCCTGTGTTGGACCATTTCTCAATGGCACATTCCTTATTTTTTTTTTCAAAAGACAGCTCATTCACTGTGGGTATTGCTGCAGAAATTGCTTACAGGTTAGATTCAGGCCAATGCCTTCTGTGGCGGCATCACAGGCAGGTTTGGGCAAGGCTAGCAGGTTTGAGATCCCTTTCAGGACATTAGCCCAGTTCTATTCATGGTTGTTTAGTCCTCCAGCCGTCATTCTACTCCCTCCACCCAGATGCATGCAACCTACAAGCCCATTCAGTCATGATCCACTAGGTACATAACAATAAACCATATAATAACATTGGCATGTCTTTGCTGTTATTCCATGAACATTACAATCAACCATTCAAAACTTTGAAGTTCATAGAACTGTCAATCAAAGTTAACAGACCCTTCAAGCCAAATAAACAATTCCACTCCACCACCAAACTACCATGCAGAACAAAATGCTTTTGTTGTTCTTAGAGCTCAGCTCAGCATTGACCATAGCAATAGAAGTAGGCAGAATGGAAGGCCAGACATCTCTTTTGCAGATTTTGACTGCTTAGCTGAATTTCAGAGTCAGAATCTTAAAAAGTCAGAATTCTTTTGTTAAGTGTATTGGAGTTATTTAAGGGGACAATAAACAGGATTGATAACAGGAATTAGTAAATGCAATATATTTGGATTTTCAAAAGGTACTTGATATGGTACTGTGCATAAGATCCCTGTGGTGTTGGAGGTGGTATAATAGCATGGATGGAAATTGGCTAGCTAACAGAAGACAGAGTTGGGATAAAGGGGACATTTACAGAATGACAACCGATAATTAGTGGAGAGCCGCATGGATCAGTACAGAGGCCACAATTATTTACAATATATGCCAATGACTTGGATGACAGAAGTGAATGTACTATAGACTTCTACTCTATAGTTTAGAGGATGTAGTATAGTTTAGAGATGGCACAAGTGAATGTGGGAAGGCAAGTAATGAGGATGATGGAATACAATGTGGGAAATTGTAAAGTTATGCGCTTTAGCAGGAAGAATCAAAGAGCTGGATATCATTTAAATGGGGGAAAATCTGAGGAAAGCTACAGATTTGAGGATCTTTGAATCTTATGATTCACAAAATGCTATCATATGAGTTTAGCGGGTAGTGAGGAGGACAAATGGACTGTTGGCCTTTAATTTAATGGGAATGGAGTATGAAAATAGGGTAGCCTTGCTAAAACAATACAAGGTACTAGTGTGGTCACACTTGCAATACTGTGAACAGTTTTGGTCCCCATATCTAAGAAAATATATCCTGGCAGACCAAAGAAGGTTGATTCCTGGTAAGGAGATTTTTTTCTTGAGGATAAGTGGAGTAGATTAGGCTTGTAAGTTGGCGATTAGGCTTGTACATTGGCATTTAGAAGAACAAAAATAGCAACAGATTAGACCATTCAGCATTTTGGGCCTGTCCTGCCATTCAATAGATTATGGCTGATTGAACAACACTTCAGTGCCTTTTACTCACGCCATTTCCATGACCCTGTATACCACTGGTAATCAGATCTCTACTTTAAATATAATCAAAGACTGAGCCTCCACAGCACCTGGGTAATGAATTCCAAAGGATCACAACTCTCTCAGTAAAATACTTTTCACCTTACCTCGGACTTAAGTGACATCTCCCTTTATTTTTTAAATTGCGCCCCTTATTTTAATAAAAAAGAAGATTTTGAAGAACACTAAAGTATACTCCTACATTATCTAATTCTGTCACTATATAATTATAGGTTATGATGAAACACCTTCGAGAACAAATTAATGAGCTGCAGAAAGACCGGGAGGCTCTTTCTTTTGCAAAGCTCCGTGAAGAAGCTCTGCAGTCTCAGGTACTTATGAGCTACACACTAACAGCCTTAGCCATTGAACTGAGTTGTATGTTCAAGATAATGCAGATTCAAGAGTGGGAAAATGTAATTGCAGAAAAATCAAGTGGAACATGAGGGGGTTGGAAACTCTTCCATGTGCAAAGTCTAATCAAAGGAAAATTGAATCCTCAACACAAAATGATTAAAGATTTTTATGATTAATGTGCTAAAAATAGATATGTTATAGAGAATAATTTTAACACATTTTCAATTTTGTATCTTTCTGCACTTCATTTCATCTTTTGAGAAAACATTAATGTGTTTGTACTACTTACATAAGGACATATTTAAAACTTTTATATCAGAGTGCCCAAAATGGGCATATTTTAGATTTTAGCCAGGTTGCAAGGACGACCATAAAAAAGAGACCAAGCGACATCACTCCATGAAAACATACATGTATGAGAATAGCAATGATTGACATGCATTTATCGTAAAAATAAAAATAATTTGAATGGCAGCTGGCAAAATTGGCACACAACAGAAGAAGCTGAGATATTTGTCCAAGATGTTGGGATGGTGAAAATGAGTGTTGTTTTGGCGACTATGGCTGTATAAGTTCTGCATGTCATTGGCCTCTGACAGCAAAATTGGTCAAATAAACCAAATATGTGAAGAACACAAAAAGTTACACTGGGTTGGTATATACAATACGTGTTAAAAATACTAGTGCAACATTTAATAAAAACAAAAGTTCTGGAGAAGCTAAACCTGTCAACAATCAATGGCATCTGTGGAGAGAGAACCAGTTCATGTTTCAAGCCTGATATGACTCTTCTTTAGAGCAGTTCTGATAGTATAGGAAGCTGCATAATAATGAGACATGATATGCAGTTAATAATGCTGACTACAAGCAATAATTCCTCTTAATAGGCATCTCACCACTGCCTAGTCAGAATCTCATCTTGACACCTAGAACTTAATTGGAAATGTAGCCAGTTGCTCATAACATTGAGAAAAGCCTCACTTGACTTCTCAAATGATTATTCCAAATATCTCATCATAGCCCATGTCATTTGGGCTCCTATAAAATTCCACCACTGTGGCGTTGTGTAATCTGATACACCGAGATAGTTGTGGGATCAAAGTAGGTATTGGAGTTGGATCATCACAAAGTGGAGCTTGAGTGTTCCTCAAGTCCATAAAGAAAGTACAGACCTCTGCTGCCCTGGGCTCCAGCCAAAGACCCAGTGAAATAAATCCCACCCAATACCTTTCCCACTTATGGCTTAGTTGAATGCTTTGGACAGCAGCTGGCTGGCAGGTTTTGAATGAGAATGGTTATTTATACTGATCTTGCCTCAACTGAAGACTCCCAGTTGGGCAGACTAGCATCCCAGATGGTTTCCAACTTGTGAATTAAACTGTCCCTTCTGTTAAAGTTACATGTTGCATCCAGCAGTTTCAAAGAACATGGAAAATAAATCCATAAGCCTGAGAACCACAAGAGTCCGAGCCACAATCTTGGTTTGAATTCTCAAAGTGGGCCCTGAAATTGGCATTTGACTTCTGCCCAGTCCACCAGCCATGATATGTCAGCCTCATTTAATATCATCATTTTAATCAACCTGTTCAGACATGTTAGGACACACAAATAGGATAGATGGGACTTGAACCCATGCCTCTTAGCTCGGAGGTAGGGATATTACCACTGCACCACAAAATGGCTGTTAAATAACAAATTTCATTAACTTTCACCAACAAGCAGGGTCAACACACCTGGCCCTCAATGTGGATAATAAAGCTGAATTTGAACAATTGCAACCCAATATTACCTGGATTTCATAAAGCTTTAGCAGAGTTCAATTCTGTTTGCACCTGGATAGAGAATTTCTTATGGATGCTGTTGGTTGCCTTTCATTTTTAAAAACATAGTAAAGGAATAACTGCCAACTTGGATGTTTTTTAAAAATATTAAAAATTTAACTAAGAATCTATTATCAGAGAAACAGCTTCTTCGTTCCAACAATGTTCATGAATTTCTTCGGTGTACATTTAGCTCAATCTTGTCCTTAAATATTGTTAGTCTCTGAGGAAATTGGTAACCATGTTCTGTGTTACAAAGTTAATAGGAATTTCACTTTTCAATAAGTTGCATACGTTTAATGAGAAACCACTATAGGTTGTTTAACATTAGCCGCTCCATGGCAAGATTGCTTTCCTTTCTCAGAAAAATGTCTTCACTACTGATTTAACACTAAGAGGCTTACTCACTGCGTAGCGTTCCTATCCTAATGAACGTAGGAGCAGGAGTAGTCTTTTTACCCCTTCAGCCTTGTCTGGCATTCACTGAAGTCATAACTGACGCTCAAGGTGATCTTTAAACCTGCTTTTTACCCCATACACTCAGTACTTTTAGTCTGTCAATCTCAGATTTTCATGAACTGTTGCTATTTAATCAGTTGGCCAATTGTGAAACAGAGTTCCAAATTGCTGTTGTCCTTGCATGTCAAAATGTTTTCTAATTTTGCTACTGAAAGATCTGGATCCAATTTTTTAGACCATGGCCTCTATCCTAGACTCCCAGTCAGCAGAAACAGTTTATCCCAACCATTC